AAAAAATATATATTTTAGTTTAATTACTTCTAAACAATCTAAGTTCTAATTTTATATATACTAAATATTTAAATGCAAGTAAAACCATAAACATTTAAATTAAAACAAACATTAATAATATCTCATATGTTAATAACAGTTATAACTTAAATATTTAAATTCAAATAAATACTAACAATTGTATACATTTTCATATTGACAGGGTAGGATAACAAAAGAAGCGGAATCAGGACAGCAGCAGAATCAGCAACAAAAAAAAAAAGCATAATGAGGATAAAAAAAAACAGAAGCAGCACAGGACAGCAAAACCGAAGCAGCAACAGAATCAACAAAAAAAAAAATAGAAGCAGAATGAGCTAAAAAAAAAACAGAAGCACAATGATCATGACAGGAGCAGAATCAATTGTAAACAATTTCATATGTAATTATGTACTGAATAAAAAAAGCAAAACAGAGGCACATTTCACATGTACCAAAATAATTAAACATGGTATAAGCATAGACCACTTTTTGGTACTATTTGTACATATATGAGAAAAGGGAAAAGTATAACCAAGACATATCAGAGATACTTATTTGTAGAAGACTATTATTTACCCCCATTTCTGATACTACTGCTTCCTTTCTTTATCATAATTTTGTCATGCAGTCGCCTGATTCCCACATCCCACAAATATTCTAAATGAATTCAACAACACAAAGAAAAAAAAGGAATGTGTTTTGTTCGGAACATTGCTTATCAGGAAAAAAAAAATAGACCAGCGATAGTCTAAAAAAAAGTCATCAGTGATTAAAAAATAAAAGAGACTACTAACCTGTGATCAAAAAAAAAAAAAAAAAAAGGGAGCAGAATCGCCTTTTATAATAAAGCGTTCGCTTTTTCGCTTTTTCTCGCTTTTTTCTCACTTCGCTCACGTTCACTTTGCCTGGGGTCCTCCAGGCGAGATAAGCTCACCTCGCCTCGCCTCGCTTCTCGCTTGGGCGAGCTTTTCAAAACACTGCCCTTACGAGGAACAACACTCTTCCCTTTCACAATCTGCCATTCTCTATCATTCTTACCCCCATACATCTCTTTTTGAGTCTCTGTAACAACAGACTTTTTACCCTTTACATCATCACCTTCCTTACCATCATCTTTGTCTCCCTTCCCAATACCTTCCTTCTACAATCCAAGTCTATATGACCCTGCTTCAAACACTTTTTACAATATTTAACTCTTTTTTCATATATAATTTTCTGCCATCGACCACTTGTACCCCCCAAATCCAACCAAAATCTGGAAGGATTATCAGCCAATAGGTTAAACCTCAACACAAGCCCTAGCCACTCTCGGCCTAATCAACTGTAAGGTAGAATTATCTATCACTAGAATTTTCCCAATTGGGTTTAGAATATCATGCAAACTATCACAATTAAAAGGTGAATTGGCAGACCAGGTAATGACACCCAAATCGGAACCACTGGTGGTTCAATTCTGGCAAGAATTCCGGAAACCATTTGAAAAAACGGAATAGAAAGCCCTCAATATAGGCCATGTCCTTTAACCAGGTTTTCACATAATCTTCATATAGTTCAAACCTAATCAATACATATCTGGGATCTAGAATACCAACCGAAAAATTCCCTTTAGGTAGCCATCTCGTAGTAATAAACTCACGAATCACACCAAGCGAAGGTTTACCATGTGCACATTTACCGATTAGGGTTTGTTGAAAACCTTTCGAGAGCTCCATAGTCTCAGCCTCAGACCAATACATCCCGGGCTCTCCATTGTTAAACACCACCTTCTTGGCTGGGCGACAAGTTGAAGCAGAAGGAACAGGAGAACCATTAGAGATATTAGTAGGATCATTACCCAAGTCATGACCCTTATCAGAACATCCAATCAAACTCGAAGGAATGGTAAAGAGATATGCAAAATCTCTTTTTGGTTGTAGGTTTGTACTATACATACAATTCACGCATTTCATTTCCGTCATTTTTAACGGTGGATAACTAACGGAAGAATTTATGAGGGCAAATTGTTGAAATTGAAACCGGAGAGAGTTGGAGGGAGTATTTTGTAATTAATCCTATTTATTAAATGGGGTGTATATAATATAGGGTGGACTTAATAATTAATAGAGTGGGTATAGAAGGTGTCTGTTTAGTTGTTTGGTAATGAAAAATTAAATATGTTTTTTCCCCCCAAAACCATCCCCATCCAACCTAACCCAACCCAACCCAGCAACGGCTCCCTGTCCTCTCTCTCTCTCTCTTCCCCAAATTCATGCCAATAGGTGGCGGCTCCCTGCGCAAACACCCTCCCCCCATCCCCTCCCCTCTTTCTATTTCTCCCTCCCCTCAAGCGCCCCAGCCCCAACAGCGCCCTTCTGTCTTCTTTGTGGGTCATTGAGAGTTTCTTTGGAGCAGCTTTGAATCTGTCTTCTTTGTACTGGGTATTGCATTTTTGAAGAACTCTTCTCTGGCAGTACGTTTATATTATGTCCTTTCTTTAATTTTTTTTATTTTTTTTATTTTGGGTATTGCATTTTTGTATAGCAAGTTCCATTCACCTGTTTTGATGAGCTTTTTTTGGTGGCCTCTCTTTCTTTTATAGCGTAACCTTAAGTGATCTGTCTTTCTTTTGATTTTAGCTGAGTTTCACTATTAAGTGATTGCATGCTCTATTGGTGACTTCTCAAAGAAATTGTGGTTGATTGCATGCATCCTTGGATTTATATTTAACATATATAGTTTTTGTTGTGTCAATTGCTTATTGATAATTGTGGCATTGTTGCTTATTGAAAGAAACATCCATGGTAGTGAACCTGCAAGCTGTTTGATCAAATGCCCCTGACATACATTCTCACAGAAATGGTTAAGACAAAAAAGAAGAGAAATTAGCTCAGTCGTTCAAGTACGGGTTCTTTGCATCCAATTCAAATACTAATGAATTAGCTCTGTCGGTTTCAAATATTAATGCTAGAATGATGGCAGGGGGGATTATGTTGCATTATTGTTAGTTTTGGTGCCTTCTTTATTAAAGGC